GGTGGAATGGGTCGCTCGTCAAGAGGGATGAAGTGATGAGAAAGAGAAAGACCAAAAAAGGAGAGAGAGAGAGAGAAAGAGAGAGAGAGAGAGAAGACAGATGTCACTGGGTGGCATTATAGCAGGATTACACCTCTTTTAGCCGCCCACCAGCTCTCAATGTGAGGATGACCGCTCACATGCACATACACATAGATGCACCAGTCGCTCCCATATCCATCTCATCAAAAACAAAATTAGCTGAAATTACAAGCCCTAATCCATTTTAATGCCAGCGAAAATTCTTCAAACCCCCTATCATCGTTAGGGAGCCCTTCCAAATTTTCACCACTTTAACCCTCATGAGCCGCAAGAACAGCTTGCAACAATAAATGCATGTTTTAATTTTACATTAATTATTTCTCGCTCTGAATCAGTACTGGAACGGGTAATTGGAAGGGTCAGGAGAATCATGGGTGGCCCGGTAGCGGTTTGGGCCAGAAACTGTGAGCTGATAAACTCACACATATAAGCATACGAAGGCGGCCCCTAACTTAAGAAGTACAGCCCCTGTTTGTTGACTGTAACTGTGAAGAGAAATCAGATTAAGTTATATTCTTAGGCTACATTACCAGGCTGAAGTGGCACAAATCAGATTTTTTGCCCTAATGTGACTCAGATCTGATGTTTTCAGAGCTGTGTGGACACAAATCTGATCTTTTCAAATCCGACCTGATCCACTTTCATATGTGGTCCTACATCGGATACGTATCCGATTCGTGCCCATGCGACCATAATGTGACGCTCAGATCGGAATTCATGTGCTTTTTCCACAGCGGCATCATTCAGCGTTACCATGGCAACAGCGATACCATGGAAGAGCTAAAGCCTGTAAACGGTGGAAAAGCAGCTCATCTCTCCTTTTTCTCCTTCGTCTCGCTCTAATAATGAAGCTGAGAGCTGATCAGAGTTAATTATCTTCTCAGTGAAGCTCGTTCTGCTCGTTAGTTTGTGCTGATGATGAACGTGATTCACTCACGTGACGTTACTGAGTAGGATGAGTTCATGAGGGTCATTTCAGGACGCCGGTTCGTCACATTAATGACAGATCTGAGTCACTTACCTAAACGAGTGTGAACCATCCTGTCAGAGAGATCGGATTTGAGCCAAAAATCGGATTTGAGCAACAAGGCTTGTAATGTGAACGTAGATTTATTCCCATTTACTGTTCCACCTTCAATAATGTAGCAGGTACATTTAGAAGCCTGTACAGGTGCGATGGTGTAACTGTTGCACTATTTAAGGCGGAATGGAAATTCAAATAAGAAGCTAACAACTCGTGAGATCAGCATATCAAATTTAGTGCGACGCTGTGGCTTTTTTTGCATTACCAACGAAGCAATTTTCACACATCAGGGAAGGCACAGAGCAGACAGGAATAAAAAAAGCTATTTAAGGAGGATGAGGACATATCCGAGCAGGTGGGCAATGAGAAATGCTGACCTCAACTTACTTATTTAGCATTAATTTGTAGCGTACTGACTGTCAAGATTACATCAGAGTCAGAATAAAACCACCTTGGTCATCTCAGCTTAGTGTACAAATAATAAATAAGGAGTAAGGAACAAAGATGATATCACAGTGTTTGTAAATACAAGAGGAAATTTTTATTATGATTTGAATTTGATGAGAAGCTACTGTTGTGTGTGCAGTCCTGTTTTTAGGGGGAAGGAAAAAAAAACTAATATTTCTGCAATGTTTTAGTTATTTTTTACATCAAAAGAAGAGAAAAAATGCTAGTTTTTTTAGTGTTTTATTATTATGCCTATAAATACACACAGTATATTAAAGAACAAAAACAAGTGTGTGAATATATTTCCCTGTAAATCGAAAGTAAATAAAATTCACTACATAACTATGTTATAAGGGTGCAAATCCGTGATTCCTTATAGTAAAACGAGAGTGAAAACTCTAAACTGCTAGGGGTTAATAAAACAAACCATCGCCCTCACTGTGTCACTTCTAGATTGTTAGATGTGGTCCTGCAGGCCCAGGAGAGAGGATGTTTTGTCTGATTGCATCTCGGAGGCTTCAGACAGTGGGTTAAAAAGCCCCTGTAATTAACTGTAAACGGACGAACGCAAACCACTGCTGGGGCCTTTTGACACCTCTAATTGGGTTTGTTTAAAGAGCTGCCCTGGAGGTCCTGGGGAAATTCATTAGAAAGTAAGAAGACGTCCTGAGTATCCGGCAATGAATGTCAAGGGTTTGTGAAAAGAACTCAAGGCACTGAGAAAAAAGTGGCTGTACCAATTAATTACCAACAGTACGGAGGCTTGGAGAGAACCTAATCTAAATCAGGCCTTCATCTGATGGCCAAAACAGAACAAAAGCTCAGAGATTAAACAGCAGAAGAAGCTGGGGCCCTCAGTCACTCTGAAAGATGGGCCCAGCTCACACCGATTCTCTATACACTGCACTGGCTATGTGTTCCTAGTTTCACCAGCTAGATTCGCTCATCTCTAGAGAGCCTGGAAAGTTTCATCACTCAATGTGGCCAAATACTATGATGAAATCATTTGACTGACATGCAAAATCAACCACAAACCTCTGTTTTACTGTGATGTGTAGGAGCACACGACTGTCCAAGAAGTGTTGTACACCTGCTGGAGCCAGAGTGGTAAATAATAGCCAGCGGCCACTTGGCAATGCTAAGTCACTAAGGGTCCTTCCATGTGTGGACCTATCAAACTTTTTTGTTCAAAGTTTGGTCCATTTTGACAAGTGAACACTTACTCTACACACTAAACCAATGAAGAGCTGAAAATTGTGGGTCTTGGTTCACTTCCAAATGAACCTTGTTCAGTTTGCTGCTGGTGGGAACACATTTTTTAGATCTTCTGCACCAAACGAGGGAAACCAGCATCAGAGCATGCTCTCCTCCTTTCTACTAGCAGCACGTCAGCGCTGCACCATCCGCATAATCTGCCTAGTTTAACTTCTGACTCTAGACAGATGCTCATATCATTTTGGAGCACGAGCTTCTAATAACGGCAGACGAGCAGGAAAATAAGAGCAAAGCAATGGCTATAAATTTGGCACACAGATCGCGCAATGTGTTGTATCAGTGACCTGATTGGCTACATCCAAATTGACAAGCCATTCATAAACAAGCAGATATCAAGAAAGGTTTATCATTATTGCTTTGATTGTGATGGGCATAGACATTAAACATCGCTATTTTCAGGCAAAGCAGGAGTTTTCTGGTTTGAATAGTGAAGAGTGTTTGTATCCCTGCTAAATTTCTGACCAACAAACAAGCATTAACTTGTGTAATTGTGCACTTTAGCTGTTGTAGTGTGAAACCTTAACCAAAGGAAAATGAAATCAAACAAACTAGGTGTGAAAAAAGCCTCAGACAAAAAAAAAAATCTGAGTAACTATCCAGTATTAAGCTAGCTTTAAACCAGCTGCTGGTTACTAACTAGCAATTAGCTTGCTATTAGTGACTAGATAGCACTTGCTAGTGGAAACCAGCTAACATATAGCTTTCCACTTAATAAACAAAAATGGTTTGATTGCCAATGAAAGTGTACTAGGCAAGATTCCAATAGCACCTTAGAATAAAATGAAGACCAGGTTGTCTGTGAGTGGAGGTTCTGAGACAGAGACTACCTGCCTCTTCTGTAACAATACAAACTACTTCTCTCAACCTTCAAATCTGGAGGTTCTTTAGGTTCAAATTCCAAACCTGAAGTACAAAGCCTGAGTTCTGTTATATCTGCATGTAAACACAGTCACTAAAGTAGCTCTTTATCATCTTAAAATATCACTAAAATTTGGCCTTTTCTATCTCAGAGTGACACAGAGAAACTTGTTCATGCATTTGTTACAAGCAGAGTTGATCACTGTAATGGTCTTCTTACTGGACTCCCTAAGAAAACAATCCATCATCTACAACTTGTACAAAATGCAGCAGCACAAATCCTAACAGTGAAACTGCACTGCCTGCCTGTGTCTTTCAGGATAGATTTTAAAGTTCTATTATTATTATTTTTTAAGGCTTTAAATGACCTTAAAGCACCACTTACATCACAGAGTGTCTGTCTGTTTATATTTCAACATGTGATCCTAGATCTGCAGATACTGGTCTTTTGCAAACACCTTCCCCAAAATCTAGAAAACCTGGAGAGACCTCTTTCGGGTATTATGCTAACTGTGGACAGTCAAGCTCATTTAAAAATGTATCTCTTAGAGTTTAACTAAAATTCTACACCTCTTTGGTATTAATCTTTTTTAATTAATTAATTTGATCTGTGTCACTATCTTATATGATTTTAAATTAATACTTATAGTTTCTTCTATTATTTAAATTACTGTTCTATTACAGCTTTATTACCTGTCTGTAAAGCACTTTGAGCTGCCACTGGTATGAAAAGTGCTCTATTAAGAAGGATATTAATAAATTAAAGTCATGCACAGTCAGTATGTCACAAAACTACTTCATGCTCACTCTCCGCTAAGGTCCTAATAAAGCATTATGTGAATAAATCTTATTAAGGTATTATTATTATTATTATTATTATTATTATTATTATTATTGCTTATTATTATTGCTACTATGAAGCACCATTCAGACCAGTATCACTATCTACACCTTCAAATCATCAAGCTTATTCTGCTAGCATGCTAGCATACAGATTATGACAGGCCCTGTGTGGAATGATTGACAGCGCATTGATCTCTCCTCTCATCCTTGTGTCGTCCGTTCCCGGAGATAAAAAGGTGAGGAGAGGCGTCTTTTTTTTTTGTTGGTGACAGATGATACGCTCTCCAATAGAGTCGCTAAATACCCAGCGGAGACGACGTCAGGGAAAATATCAAGTGGCTCTTTAATTCAGTGAGAGAAATGTTAAGCAGGACGTGGAGAAGATGGCCAATCACACCTGACTTCTGTCTGAAAGCCAGCGTGTAAACACCAATCACACACACACACACACACACACACACACACACACACACACACACACACACTCTCAACTGGACGCCATTGCCAAAGACAAAGGGCCACATGGTCACACACTCCTGCACACATTTAAACATGCTCAAAAACATACAGAACTAGCATATCAGCTCACATAGTATTAACTGGATGATATAGGCCAACAACAGGGCCGCCAGATTCTGTAAAAAAATAAATAAATAAAGAAATTCTCTTACCTTTTTTTTCCCGATGGGGTCGATCATTTCAGGGCACATGCAAGAAAACAGAAAGAAACCAACACTTAGACTGAAATCTGAATAGTTTACCGATTGTTCGTTCGTCCTGTGTTTACACCTCATAGTTAGTCTGCAAACCTTCTACATCACATTTCTTTGGACAGGTGCTTCCAGAAAACCTCAACTAAAAAACATTAATGAAACCAGGCCTGACTCAGTCTGTAAGAACATCCAAAATCACATATTTCTACTCTAAATAGCACCGCAGAAGATGTATGCAAAAGTTTTGGCAAATTACACCTTTTGTTTATTTTTGTAAGAGAAAAAAAATTCACAGCTTTACATCTGCAGGGAACTCACTCAAATATGACACATTTCTGCAAATCTTAATGCAGGATTACCATTTATATGATGGATTTGATAGATAAATAAATAGCTCAAATAGTTTTAGTTGTATTTAGTTTTTTTGGTAAAGTCTCAGAGTTTTTTGTTTGTTTGTTTGTTGTGGGTTTTTTTTTACTCATCCATGTCAGTTGTAGACAATTCCAGACACTTTAAACCTCTCAGGACGTTGTACTTACAATCAACAGCCATGGACTCGTCTAAGCGGCTGACTGCTGATCTAAAACTATAGATAATTGTCACTTATAATGCAAGCAAACACTATAAAAGATATCTAAACACTGCTTGTAATTTCTCTGCCTGAAATGTCATTAAGAAATTGAAGTATTGAAGTCAAGACAAAAGCTTGAAGATGCAAAGAATCTCTCAAAAAAACAGCTTTTAGAATGGTCAGGTATGCAAAGCAAAACCCCCACATCACTGCCAAGGACCAACAGGGATATTCGGCTGTCTGACAAACATCACAAACATCATCTACACAGAAGAGAAATCAGAAGTTAACCTTGTGTGTGACCTCAACATCTGAAGTATGCAACACAACATTCACGTAAACCAGAAGCATTTTGCCTTAGACAAAGATCACCAAAGTATGTTTGGAGAGAAAAAGAAACAGCATTTGATGAAAGGAACTCCTTGCCAACTGTTAAATATGGGGGTGGATCTATAATGTTTCGGGGTTCTGTGGCAGCCAGTGGCATAGGCAATGTTGTGGAGACCATCAGTGAAGAAACTGAAGATAAAAAGCGGTTGGATATCACAATAAGACTATGATCCAAAATATAAATCAAAATCAACCTTGAAGTGTTTCGAGAAATGAACGATTAAGGTTTTAAAATGGCCTTCACCATCTTCAGAGTGGATTCTGGGAAAATTTGTGGGTAGATCATACTTGATGTGCATGCAAGATGACCTAAAAGTGTTCTGCAAGGAAAAAAACAGAAAAAGAACCTTTGGAGGCTGTGATTTCAGTCAAATGGGGTCTTACTAAGCACTGACTGGAAGGCCCAAACTTATGCACATGCTACATTTTATATTCTTTTTTGTTTTTTTTTTTGGATATATAAATTAAGCAAATAAATAAAAAATGTGTATTAAAACTAGCAGAAATATCTAGAAAACTAGCAGTTTCATTTCTCCCACGAAGATGTTGTGTTATTTTTTTTCACATAGAAAATCAACTATATGTAATTTGACTTTTTCATGCAACTATATAAAACTGGAGAAACATATTTGCACACACACTTTAGTTTTAACTTTAACATTATCATGTTAACACAAACACTTTTTAATCTCAACCTGCAGACTGGAAAGTGGCAGAAACCCTTTTTTAACACCCCCTGCATTCCATTTAGGCCTGACATCCCACCTGATGTGCAAAAAAACAGGTATTCAGGCATTTTTATCTACATTTACGACAATGTATCACCCCTGTCTCCTGCAGCAGAAACGAGGCAAACGCCGCAGAAACCTGTCGTCAGGTCACATCAATAATGAGCTGAGCTGTTCGCTCACATCAGCAAGGTGCAAATGAACCTCTGTGTGTGTGTGTATGTGGTGTGTGTGTGAGGGAAAGGCAGCAGCATCTGGGCAGCCGTACACTTTGTTCTGAGTGATGTTTCGTCTGCTAAGATGTCAGCAGGGCAGGTGGGTGAGAGCCTAAAAATAAAAGTTCAGCTATTACTGCTAGATTCAGTCCGACCCGAAAAAGGCCCGAAACAACCACTTACACTGTACTGTGTGATGAGAGTGTGTCTCAGTGTCAATATGATGCATTTAAAAAGAGTTTCAAGTGGAAGTGGAAAACTTTACTTACATCTGTGATACTTTAACACATTAACTTGTGTTGAATTGTATTAAATAACAGCACAATTTAATAGCTGAACCCTTTAAATGGCCGTGGCCCACAAGTGGGCTCATATAATCTAAGAATAGCTCAGCCAGTTTGCATTGAGGCCTCTATAGTTACTGAATAATAGGCTTTAGTATGTAATAAGTCTGAGATTTTAAGGGTTTAAATCAACTTTTTAACAGTGTGGACTGATGCGCAGCCTACGGCAGTTTTCATGCACCAGTGGGGTGATGATGTGGTGTTAATGCCACGATGTATCTTAGTTTCTGCATGATTACACACTTAAACGTGATGCTCCCTCTAAGGTTCTTTAGTAAAAGCAATGGTTCAATTTAGACACGAGTTCTATATAGAACCATTTCATGTTTAAATGGTTCTTTGTATGGTGAAATAGTTCTCCATTGTGGATTGCTATTGCTACAATGTCAAGCTTTAGATCCATTTTTGGTGCTATATAGAATAATTTTCAAAAAAGTTCTACATAAGTTGAAAAGAATTTTTCCGTCATTGTTGTTGAATATCTCTAAATATCCTGTTAAACACTCATGATAATAAGTTGGTATATTTACATTTATTTCTGAAGATACTGTAAATTGTAAATAAAATGGGTGCTGATAATGTTTGCCAGAACTAGTTTTATGCAACCTAAATAAATATATATATATATATATATATATATATATATATATATATATATATACATATATATACTGATATATATATACAAATATATACTGATATATATATATATATCTTAAATCAACTTTTTAACAGTGTGGACTGATGCGCAGCCTAAGTCGGTTTTCATGCACCAGTGGGGTGATGATGTGGTGTTAATGCCAGGATGCATGTTACTTTCTGTATGATTACACACTTAAAAATGATGCTCCCTCTAAGATTCTTTAGTAAAAGCAATGGTTACATTTAGAGTTCTATATATAACCATTTCATGTTTAAATGGTTCTTTGCATGGTGAAATAGTTCTTTATTTGGGTCTCTATTGGAAACTGGATTGCTATTGCTATGATGTCAAGCTTGTAACATTGGGTGCTATACAGAATCATTTTTCAAAAAAGTTCTACATAAATTGAAAAACTTTTTTGTTGTTGAATATCTTTAAAAGGTTTGACAGGATGTTTAATGATAATCAGTTGATATATTTTCATTTATTTCTGAAGACACTGTAAATTGTAAAAGAAACAGGTGCCAATAAAAATGGCCAGAACTAGTTTTATTCAACCTAAATAAATCTTTAAATAAACCTTTCTTTCAATCTAAGTGTTTATTTGAGTTGAATAAAGCGAGTTAAATTGCTTGTTACATGAACTTTTGTTAGGTTCAACTGACAAACCATTTTTTTACCGTGTTCCCTTCAGGGCTGCCCTTTAAAAAAAAGGGCAAACAGATCACATGACATCAATTCAGCATTAATTACTGAGATATATATCTATCTTAATCAACCTTTTAACAGTGTGGACTGATGCGCAGCCTACGGCGGTTTTCATGCACCAGTGAGGTGATGATGTGGTGTTAATGCCACAACATTTGTAAGCTTATGCATGATTACACACTTAAAATGATGCTTCTTCAGGGGTTCTTTAGCAAGAGCAATGGCTCTATTTAGACCCATGAGTTCTAAATAGAACCATTTCATGCTTAAATGGTTCTGTGCATGGTGAACTAGGTCTTCATTTTGGATTGCTATTATTACGATGTCAAGTTTGTGATAAAAGAAGAACCATTTTAGTGCTATAAAGAATTATTATTAAAGAATTATCAAACTAGGTCAACAAAAAAAGGAAAGAACTGTTTTGTTGTTATATTTCATATTTTGTTGTGTGTGTGTGTGTGTATATATATACACATACCCACACATATACAGTTGTTTGTTACCACATCAACTTTTATTAGGCTTAACTGACAAACCATACTGTGTTTACTTCAGGGCTGCAATTTAGAAAAAAAAGAGGTCAAACAGATCATATAACATCAATTCAGCATTAATTACTGAGATATATAGTTATCTTCACCATTTTTCCATGACATTTCAATGAGGCACTTCTGCAGAGCATTTTTAGATACCATGATGCTTTCTGGACAGAACACAGCCCGTCTGTTCAGATTGCAATAAAGAAATTGTTAGACTGAAGGAGACTAATTAGCTCTGAATGCTCTTAGCTGATGTATTACAAATGACACTTCAATTAAAGTGTACAATCACGTTTGCTCACCTTGCTCTCAAAAGCACTCTCATAACGAGACTGAAAAAAAGGATATGTATACATCCAGGCCCTTTAATAACACGTTCAGCTGCGCTATTATTGCTCAGCCTTCTGTCTCTCTCAATCTGCTCGTGATAAAGGAAACACAGCAGCACCTCCAGAGCTGAATGAGGAAAAGAAAAGAATCAAATTAGCTTTCTCTTCCATCACTCAGCTCTGAAAGCCTCTTCCCAAACTTGTTTGTTGCATGTCATTAGACGTAGAGGCCTGCGAGAAAAATGTGTTTGCGCGAGTGCTGGGGGAGCAGATCAATCAGGCTATTAATCTGGACTGAGAAATCGCTCCGTTTGTGCCGCTGCAGGTCTGACCCAGTTCGGAAATCTCCGGGTGATGAACACTCGGGACAGGCCGCAGATACACTGTGACGGTGGGTTGTTTGTCTGTTGCACACAGTGAAATGTGTGAGAAATGGCAGATTCGAAGAAAGAACCATTTGTACGGTTGCCTTCAAGTGCTTTTGGAATCAC